ATCTTATATCGAGAAAATTGTTACAATTTTAACTAAGTGTTATTTATTTCTAGCGAGGCATACTGTGGTTTAACTATGGGAGTAGTGACATAACTATCGCAATTTTTTGTTTATAAGCTAGACTTGGCCGTAAACAAAGCACGCAAATATTCCTATATTTACATATAGTTTTTAATTCCAGTTCAATTAATATTTTAAACAGTTTCCAATATTCAATAAAATGTATATACATAAAATTAACAGCGCATTTAATGCACGCTTTCATTGCTGGGTGGCGGCAAATCTAGAAGAATTCCTACCACAAACGATATTCCTATTACTCAGTATGCTCGCCCACTGACCGCAATTGAGTCGACTTGCCTTATTATCTACTATTAAAATAATAACGGATACACTATGCTATTCCTCATATTAAGTGTTAGATTATATCCGCTAGATGTCGCTAAGTGACTTCGATATATTTATTTATAAAAACACTCCTGCCCTAACAGGCGACCTTAAATTGACAAGAGTGCACAATAAGTGAATAAAATTTACAGATGAAACAAACATAAGGAAAAACAAAAATACATAATAAAAAATACAAGAAATTAACTAAGTACAATATAAAACTATAGTAAATAGTATCATAATATATGTTGGCCTCAAATTACTATAACTGCTTCATTTATATGCAAGTAGATCACACGGCGATCAAGATCCCTGATCAAGTATTGAATGCCCACAAAGAAAGTAAAAACCCTTGGATGACTGCGAACCACATTCTTAAAGCAAGGCTAACACTCATTTTGATATAACAGAGCTCATGGAATGCAAAAGCAGAGACACTAGAAAATAAAACAGTGACAACGGCGTGCAACAAACAAATTCCTTAGAGGCACATACGGCACACTAAATTAGACACACCAGTAATCGACTGGATACCATGTGCGATGAACCGTGAACGGCTCACGAGCTCACCCCTCATTTCTGGTTACTGCTTGGAGCGTAAGCGGTTTTAAATTGCGCTTAGTACAAATTACATACAAAAGAAGCTGGGAGCTACAATTTTAATTCGTTACCTAAAGTATAGGGATTAGGGGTCAACTTTCTTAAGTGTTTCCTTGAGAGAATATATATTTAACCTATTAAAAGATTGTCTATCATTAACCCGCCAGCTTCGCACTGGAGTTATGGGAAAACAAATCTTCCATATGAGAATTTTTTTATTGTCAAAAATCCTTTGTATATATGTATGTACATTACTACTTATAAGCGCTAATAAGATATTATAGGCTTGTCGAAAACGCGTCCCTTTTTTAACGGCCAAACTCTTGGAATTTTAGAGTATTCGAAAATACAATGATTGAACTGAAGAAATTCATTAACATCTTTCAAATGAATAACAGCTATATAAATTTTACGCAATTAACTTTAATTTCATAAATGTAAGTACTCCGCTAATAATAATAAATAATCGGAACCAAGGATGATATAGATTATCCAGCCAAAGATATTGAAACACGTGATTCTAATAAAGCATTTGAAAACAATCGCGAAGATAATTTATCGTACAGACATAAAGTCGATTAAATACTTTATTGCTAAGACACCTGGCTCATGGCTAAGATTCAATTAAAATTAAATATTACAGAGCATTTCACGGATTTATTATAAGCGTGATAAGCAGTAATTGTATTTCAAAGAGAAACCGCAAAGTATTACGATTTATAGACTTTTTAGTAGTGGTTTTATTGGGCGTTTTGTGACCGAATCAGATTAAACATAACACGATTTTTGCTTTAAGATCTTTATCGAGTTTAAAAGAACTTCCAGGATAAACATATTCCAAGTTTTTGGTTTCTTTTTAAATAGCTTTTGTTTCGAAGTGCATTTTAGAAACTTTTAATAGCTATTAAAAAATTAAAAAAATACGTGAATTAGAAAAACGATATTTCCGGTAACCTCGACGTCCGTCGTTCCACAACTGAGCGTTTTTAAAGGCAGTTGTTGTCACGTACCACCAAAATGTGGAACCAGCTGCCCACTGAAGTATTTCCGAACCAATTCGACTTCAAGAAAAGAGCGTACCAATTCTAAAAAGGCCGGCAACCCTCTGGCATTGAGAGTGTCCATGGGCGGCGGTATCACTTAACATCAGGTGAGCCTCCTGGATGTTTGCCCTCTGTTCTATAAAAAAAATATCGAATATTTTCTTTTTGGCTAAGATATCTATTTACCTTTGTTAAAAATATAACATAAAAAATGTTTGAATTTTAGACCAAACGTTTTTCTCATAGAATCATTTAAACACACGTAAAGGTCTGGCCTGGAAATTACCAAGCTAAGTCAGTCTCTGCTGGATTTATCGACAAGTGCTGTGTGTTATATTTTAAAAGTCCACCATTTGCATCATTATGTTCTACACTCTATATGTACCATATTATTAAAAATATTCTTATTTTAGTATAGCCATGCATTCAATAATAATAATATATTATACGCAGTTATTATTACTCGCCTGCCATAATACACGGTCCATATAAGAGCTTACAGAGATGCCGAACTAATCTAGAGACGTGGTAAACAAGAATCATCGGTTCTAGGAAGATGGCCCTCGAGGGAAAACAAGAAATTTGCTCATGCTACTTAAAACATATCGTATATAGGTACTTTAACAGTCAATGCATTGCCTTATATATTTAAATGTTATGAACTTTTATATGTAAAAACATCAATTCTAGGTTATATGAACGTGTTTGACATCGAATTCTATACGCAAAGCATCTTGTTAAACATAACTGCATGCCCGATTTAGGACGCGTTTATTGTTTACAATGCATACAAGATTCTCGTGAATTTTTGAAGGCGTACATTGACATCGTTGATATTTGCAAAAAATGTATCGCTAAAAGGCGCGCAGACGGCGTCGCGGCGGGTCGACGTACGCGCCCAGAATAACCAGCAGCATCTATATTTGCAGCAAAAGCGGGCGCAGGGGGTACCAGCGCGTGCCATTTCTGCAGCCCAGTGCATCTGAGTAATGTCATTGTAATGCTCTCGATATATCCAATACGAGCAGACGGGACGTCGGCGGTGTCGTCGTCGTACCTTCGTCATTAATGATTGTGTAATTATGTTAGAAATTATTAGTCACCTCTTTTTGGTACTGCTTCTTTAACAAGAGGTTTTAACCCTAGTTATAAGAAGTATAGAGTTGTCGTAGATAAGTGACACTGCCCAGGATTACACAGCGATTAGTGTAATACTGGCTGGATATTAAAATAAAAAGCAGCAAGTTAAACTCTGTATAAGTACATGTGAAGAAAACCATACCATAACAAAGAATTAATTTAATTATTATGCTGTAGTAAACAAAATTTTTAGCTCTATTTTATAAAAATGTACTAGCTATGATCATCTTGGTGCCCAGTAATTTATTTCGCGTCTTCCATGCACAATTACATTAGATTATTATTATCCAGAATGATGTCCATGTGGTAATCATGAGAATCAGTCGTGGGAGCGGCCGCGCCTGTTCACACTCATTTGTCATCGCTGGTTCCTGTCACTTCGCGAGTTTGCTTTCACAACAATTACCTTATAAGATGTTTATAAGTGAACTAATTTGCCAAGCATTTTACTTAGCCAATATCCTAATGAGTAATTGCATCGTTTTTGCTATATTTTTGGCCTTATATACCTTACCTCGGCAAATCATGACGTGCTTTTAGATAGTTCCAAATGTACTCAAGAATAATGAATTTGTACGCGCTCAATTTAATTAAATTAAAAAATTAACACTATTTTAATTAGATAAACGTAAACTGTATATTAATTTTACATGTAAGACATTAAATTAATTAATTCAAAATATCTACGTAACTATGATTTACCAAAACTATATATTCAAGTCAATGTATATGTCGAAGATCGGATTACACAAGCCAGTCATCCGAAAACGGAATATTAATAGCAGTCGCGTATACACAAAAAATATATAAATTTATATGTCATTCGGACAATTTCCACATGTCCAGATGGCCCATGAGTCACTAACCTGTTGCCACCATAATTCCACTATTATCAGATTACTAAAACATTATTTGGCTATACGAAAATATAATATATTTTCAATATTTATTGATAATTAAAAACCGCAGCGAAACTAATTACCTTGCCCATAGTGTTTCCCCTATTTGATGCATAAAGCGTACAATATATTTAAATTGAACAGAGCTTTCATTATTGAAAAATAAAGTCTATAAATTACACCGCGTATGAGAACTATAAGAATATTTCAGCCAAATCGGGCTCAAAGATTGAAACAAATTTAAAAAAAAACAATGTAAATATTTAAGTATTCATTAAAATATGTAGTTCGATTCGATTCGACCCGCTGAGACAATCGTTGTTACCTCGATAAAAATCGAATAACGGAGTAAAATAACGGATATCCAAAAACTTTATATTCGGATAAAATATTGCGCAGGGTCATAGCACATAGAACTATAAAATCGGTAAAAGCATGACATCAGTCGGTATAATTCAAAAGCTTAAAAATGACATCATCAATCTAAGAAATGGAATTGTATTGGCATTCAACGTGTCATGAAACAGACCGCTTTAACAAATCATTCGTAATCTGATTATATATTGTTAGGCCTTCACAAACATCGCTGAACTGATTGTGATGAATTTATAAAAAAAAATGGAGTATTTTTCGTGGTGTTGCTTGTCGTCGATAAGAAATCTTTCTATATATTCATAATTAATTATGAAATGTGACACGAACTTATAGTTTTCTTTAGTCAACAAACTCTCCGCTGATTGAAAAGATAATTGAAAAAAGGTAATGAAATTTTTAGTTTTTTTTGTCCCTTAAAATACTGGTAGCAATATTGTTTCCTCATTCCCTTGGAATTCTCATTTATCGTAATGGCGTTAATATTGTACACAATGCACATAAACTTGCTGAGTCTGCATATTAAGAGGATAAATTCTTATTTCTACTTCTATTTCTACTCACAGTTAGTGTCCCCCGGACAGGTCTTGCAGCAACGGCCGGGAAGGAGTTCCGGACTGTCGCAAGATGGTTCAGGACACTCGTTCTTAATATTCCTGCAGTGTACTTTAGCGACCACTCTCCGCTTCTTTTGTACCTGAAAGATAATAATATATTCTATATTGTATTATTGCATATATTTATCATATCAGAATAAAGACAACGATGGTTACCATATATTAAACCTAACTCAAGACGCTAAACAAGTTTAAAAATAGTTGGTAAATACTTCGTTTACTCTCTTATATATAGAGGTCTAAATTGGATTAGCGAGACAGATGAAAATCTAAGACGGAGAAAGAGAAAATGGAGCCAAAAGTTCCTACTACATTTCGAGATTCTTAAACAGCTCAAGTGTTTTTTTTTATGTTACAGGAGGCAGACGGGCAGGAGGCTCACCTGATGTTAAGTGATACCTGCCGCTCATGGACACTCGCACTGCCAGAAGGCTCGCAAGCGCGCTGCCGGCCTTTTAATAATTGGTACGCTCTTTTCTTGAAGGACCCTAAGTCGAATTGGTTCGGAAATACTTCAGTAACTAGCAAACGAGCTTCAGTCCACAGCGTCATCCGCGTGCATTTCATGTGACCTCTTAAACCATTTCAGTCAATTTACTTAAAAACCTTACTATTTATTTAAGAAACCCGTCTAAAAACCGTTAAGAGAATTTCAGTTTATACTGAGATGCGTCCAGGGTCGTCTTATAATGCAGAATGAAGCATAGAGTATGAATACCAGATTATTTTAGTTCAAGTTTTATAAAAAAATGCTAAGTGTTTTATGAACCTGCATAGAAAAATGCCGCCCTTGAGAGTTGCCCATCATTACGCCACTTACCAGCGTACCTTACTTCATAACCACAATTATTTTGTTTTCAACAATTTAAGAAATGTCGTTCACGTCTTGAGTGGGTTTCTTTAAACTTAATGAAGCGAAATTATTACAATGCACACGGTTATATGACAATAAAGTAATGGCATGTAAACCTGGGTTTTAACTCTGGAATGGTTATAAGAAGTGTGAGGGTCATCCAGCATGCCACAAGTACAAAGTGTAAATTAAAACGGCTCTAGTATAAAATTTTACTGAAAGCTAAAAGGGTGTTTTTATATCATGCATTAATATCTGAAATCCTGACTTTATAATTTCTGTTGTATTAATACGTACCGGTATACACTCACATTTGATGCAGTACATGACACCAAACGGAGGGCCTAAATCTGCAAACCACGTGGATCCCAGCTCTTTGGCTTGCTTTCCGAATTGACATTCTGAAACAACAATATTGGTAAGTTAATAATTAAAAAGTCAACCAATAAATAGATCGTAAACTGCTCTTAACACAATCATTTAATTATTAGTCATTTCTTCTCGATTCTTTCACTTGATCACATAAATATGCGAAATAAAACAAAATAATACCACAAGTATTCCCGCCAATACCAACATTCCACAATAAACACAAGAAATGGCGCCAAGCTGCCAATGGAAATGTCAATTGTCATACGAATTAATCAAGGATACATATATGCATTAAATAGTCTGCGTATCTCTTGTTTTTTTGTCTATTACTTTTTACTTGTTGTAGCATGATTGATTTTAATTGAACATTTTTATTTCTAATTCGTAATTTTTTAAGATACATTGGTGGCTCATAAATGTTAAGGTATATATAAGGATTAGTTATGAAATATAGTTATCATTATTTACATAATCTGCTCCTGGCTCCTTGTTACATGAAAAGCGACTGACGCCATTTCTGATTTATTTAAACAAAATTAATTGTTTGGCATAGATTTATTAAATGCAGCGAAACGCGATCATGACTTGAGTAACTGCCTTTAACGTTACTATAACTTTATAACAATGATAAATGTATCACGAATGCTGACAGTTATTTTAACAGTTGGAATTTTATTATTAATTAAATATAACATAACAAGTTACCGTCGTCACGATTTTATGCGAATTTGTAATTATAAAATTTGATTAAACGCATAAACTGAGCTTGTTTATTTCATTAAGATTATATTTAATCTGCATGAATGGAAATTAGTACTAGTTTAGTAACTCCGTCATTTTATTTACCTTTTCAAACTGTAACAAAAAAGACACATATCACATATAATATAATATAATAAAATAATAGGTAGATCACTGATCAGCCAAGAATTTAATATACTACTTTAAATTTAAACTGCATAAAGTAAGTTTTTATTATAACCACTAGCTTATTAACACCTTACATATAAGGTATAAGGTATTTACGAGAAATCTGAATCTTGACTCAATATAATTTCTATGTGCGCAATAAACACTTGCTCCTACGACGAAAGAACATCGTCACACGTTGAACGACTCCTGGGTAATCGGGGTGCTTCAAATAATAGAATATATTATTCAAACTATATATTAACCACTCTCGCACAACAATACGGGTTTTTTTTATATTTTTTTTTTTTTTTTAACCCCTTTAAAAAAAAAAAAATTTTTTTTTTATTTGGGGGGGGGGGGCCCCCCCCCGGTTTTTGGGGGGGGGGGGCCCCCCCCGTGGGGGGACCCCCCCCCCAAAAAAAAGGGGGGGGGGGTGATTTTTTTTTTTTTTTCTCCAAAAATTGAAATATGGACCAGAAGTGTTGGCCTAGTAGCTTCAGCGTGCGACTCTCATACCTGAGGTCGTAGGTTCGATCTCCGGCTGTGCACCAATGGACTTTCTTTCTATGTGCGCATTTAACATTTGCTCGAACGGTGAAGGAAAACATCGTGATGAAACGGACATATCTTAGACCCAAAAAGTCGATGGCGTGTGTCAGCCACTGGAGGCTGATCACCTACTTGCCTATTAGAGTTAAAAATGATCATGAAACAGGTTCAGAAATCTGAGGCCAAGACCTAAAGAGGTTGTAGCGCCACTGATTTATTTATTTTTATAGACCAGACTTGCCTTGCCTTAAACTTGATAAATAAAACAGACGTACATTTTTTTATACAAATTTGTCATACTTTCTGTACCGTTCTTAGTTTACTCAATTTAGCTATACAAATACTGTTTCAAGTGCAATAATGTATGCCGATGCACGTCCACGCTTATTATTGACAGTTTAGCATCTGAGACCTGGCCTATAGTGAGAATACTAGTTACATTTACATACTGCACTCACCAGTGGACATCTAAAAATAAAGCGAGTGTTGAAATGTAGAAATGTCGTATACCTTAAGGTTTAAGCGAATCTATTTGATCGCGGATACCGTTTTAACTCATATAAATTACAGCTAGTATTTTAGTTTTAACATTATATTCAAAGGCTTTCGACACGTTACCTTTAACAACTGCAGTAATTAATTGCATTTCCTATTGTTTCATAAGAGTTATTGAGTATATGGAGTTACATGCTCGCGACTTTCGTATATTTGGATACCTATGTCATTGAAAAACGATGTATTTTGTGCCCCATTCCTTGACAGTATTTAAACTATACCATAATGTTTTCTATATGTAACCCCCACCCACTACTCCTCAGCCCTTCACACGCCCTTAATATGGACCCTTGGGCTTCGCCAGGCATTCTACCCAAGAAACCTGAGCAAAAGAAATGTTGAATAACTTGTAATTTCCATCCTCGGCCTAGAACGTATTGATACATACATTCTAAACCTACACAGTCTATTTTATTAGGTAGCATACTCACTGCGTGCCCTCCATGTACCACCGTACAAACGCCAGGAAACGAACGAAAGGCCAGGAACAAATTTAAAGTTACTTAAAACTTGCACTCGAACCGGGAATCGAACCCGGAACCCCTCACCTAGAAGCCCCTTAATAAGACCGCTAGGGTTGACTTGACTTTGGACTTTGCTTAATACAATTTTTGAATTACAAAGAAATTATTCTTACTATGAAAGTAGGCTGTATTCTAAGGCTTTGATTCAACGTGAGATCGCTATCAGATGTTAGGTCGATAAGGTGACTGGGCTCTATAAATAGGCGTCACTGTTATCTCGCCCCTATTTAATAAACTTCACTCCCCGAGTGCACTGATAACAACCGAGATTTGTTGCGTGAGAATTCTTAATTAATTCGATTATAGTACCTTTAAGGTGAAATGTGTCATTATACGATACAGTTAGACTGTTGTATCACGTTTTAGGATAATTTCTGCCTGGCACATACACCCAAAATTATTTTCGAAGGTGCCTCCAGGTGTCTATATGCCTATCGAAATATTTCCAAACCTACATTTTAGGGCTTCGAACCTTTAAATTATAAAAGGCCACGCTCTTGGTCTGTGTGAGTATACATGGGCAGCGATATCAATTAAGGCTCCTGCCCATTTGCTGTTCTATAAAATGAGACGAGATTATTCATATCGACCTTTCAATTACCAGATACCTGAGAATTATTGTCGGACCAATAACTTCCTCGTCAGGGTACCTTATAACTATGTGCTTATCAAGACTTTAGAACCTCAAACGTGAACGATTTCAATTAAGCCTCCTGCTCATTTGCTATTGTATAAACATGAAACATTTATATCTATATAGTTATATCTTATGTGTATTTAATAATTACTTTAACGCAAAGTTATTTCGTTACTTTCATAAATAGTAGAGTGTTCTACCTCGACTACTATCTAAGACTAAAAAGAACTAAATAAAAGAATTAATTAATATTTAGTACTTGCATACCAAAGACCAAATTTTATTCTTAGTGTAGACTAAGGTCTAAGACCGTTCTAGAAAAAGTCTTTTAAAATACAAAGCGGATCCCAATTATTGATATTGCATATTATAATAAGGATGGAGGGTGACGGCGGCGCCTAGATAAGGATGCGACAATCACGTCTCGTACAATAAAACATTAACACGTCCGCTTACTCAATTGATCCAAAGACCTCTCAATTTGCAATCGATTACTAGGAATAATAGTATAGCAATTTAAAAGATCAACGCTCTTTAGAAACCTTAAAAATATTATATGTGATTTAGGCATAAACATCGAGACATACTGTTACCTTCTGCCGTGTTCTCGGAAACGTTGGCCGGTCGCCAGGAACGTCTCGCCAGGCAGATGAGGTATTGGCGAAACACGTCCTATACTTCTTGCGGGCTCTCTTTATGGAAATCCGTACCAGATAAATGCACTTGTTTAATTTTAAATTGTCCAATATCGATAAATTTTCACCAAATCACCGAAATCTCGCTTGAATAATACCAGTATGTTTTTAAGTAATAATGTATTCAATTTAGTACAAAAACAAAAATGCAAGTGTGTCATTTAAATAACTTTCGAACCCGCTTTGAGGATATTGCAAAAAAATATACTTTGTAGTGGACTGCCGTTCGGAACAAGTAGCTCGTAGGTACTATCAGCAAATTCGGTTTACCAACTCACCGAAATTTGCGCTTTTTATTATCATGGTCGACTTTTGCAGTACTTATTTACGGCATAAATGGTTTGGGCATTAAATAAACAATATTATATTATAGTATTTTTTGATAATACACGGCAAATTGACCGCGAATTAACCGATTACAATATCATCATCATCAAATAACAGTTCAATTACAAAGGTGTAACACTGGAGTATTTGCCTATAGTACCAGTAATCATGAAGCGTAGCATGACCTCACAGTGCATTGTCATTTCATAGATCACGATAAGTATTAGTTACATGTGCAGCGAGTAGTGCGCACTGAAGCGTGTCCAGGTCGCCTCAATATATCCTTGTACAAAAGGGTTGGAGCAGGCTTCGCCCTAGAGTAAATTTCAGAGCGTAAAATAAATTGATTGCTCAGAAATAGCTTTAAAGCATTCTGACGTTTGCACAGGAACAATTGACGATCGCCCAGGTTGCATGGAGTACGCACAGAGCTGCCGTTTCGATATTTGACTTCATAAATTCTATCAATCGCTCTGATTAACTTAATACTAGCAAATCACGTAGCTCTACTGGCGTAGTTAGTGGCTGTTAACGCAGTGGGTAGTCAGTGTTACAATACGTAACTCATAGATAAAGAACCAACTCCAAACTTAATGCGAACTAAGGAGCTCTTAATTAGTAGTAAGTCTGGACTTTGAATCCTCCCTAAGTATAGTTGAATTCAGTCTTAAGTAAATAAACATAGTCGGTAAGGTAGGGCTCGATGAAGACTACATTTTTTTATAATCAGAAAAAAAACCCTTTATTACATACTTTACATTTAAATTTCTATCTAATTCTTTTTAGGTATCTGTGTGCCCTTTTTTAGCAAATACCTACTCCAAATCCCGCCGTTTGTATCTGCACTGTGCCACTCTCTACCTGTTTCCTTAATCTGGTCTGTGCTTCTAAATTGTCTCCCTCTTTTGCGTTATTACTTTAGGCACACCTTTAATACTCTTACCATGTAAATTTTCCTTATAAATACCCATTTCTACTAAGTTAATTTATTTAGAAGACGAACGAAGCCGACCAAGAAGTCTATACGCACCTGTGTGTGTATGTGTGTGTAGATATATTCCGACTGTGACATTCAGTACTCCTATCCAGTGCATGTACTCAATGACAAAGAAAATACAAAAGTTTCGTGACTGTCTCAACGCAGACAGTT